CGTCGCTTAACAGGCCAGTCTCATGCCTGTCGGGTCTTGAGTGGAGTCAGGAACTTCAGTGCCCTGCTCTGAGCTGGCAGTCGGCCCGGGCTTCGAAGGTGCTCACTAATCCAGCCTCGTGCATCCGGTTCCAGGCAGGCTCCCGGGTTCTCTTCCGAGTCTTGCATTCGGGAGCTGCAGCCCATACTTTTCCCGTTGGGTTATTGTTTGGCATCCCTCACATTTTGAAGGTTTGAGCCTGTTCTGGTTGTTTTGCTCCCCGAAGCAACTAGTTTGAACCAGTTGGAAGCCCTACTTTAAAGGGAGATCAATCGCCTCTCCTTTCTTAACACCATTGAGCTGAAAACAAAAGTAAGAAAAACTTACTGAAGCAGAGACTGGGGTAATCATTCATCAGAAAGGAATTGGAGTTTTCAAATAAAAATCTTGGAATTTGAAGGTGTAACTATTTTAAAAACGTGTTTGGGATGGTAAGAGACATGGTAGTGTGTTTGGTAATGTATTGGGCTGCTGACCACGATAAGGTCAGCAGTTTGAACCGCCGGCTGCCCCCGGGAGAAAGATGGACTTTGCCTCCTGTGAAGAGTGACAGCCTGGGAAACTCATGGGGGCAGTCCTACCCTCCAGGGCCCCTATTCAACCCCATGGCCATGAAGTTTCAGTTTATTCCAAAAGAGGAGGGGGAAGGGTGAGGTCTTGTAGTTAGTACGTTTGAAGAAGCTCTGAGTTAAACACTGACGAGGTTTCTTTACTAGGACCTTTGATTGGTTAATGCGCTTTGTTAAAGTATAGAACATTAGTGTCAGTATTTCTGAAACTTGACTGCTCTTCAGTGAGTCACCCTACAGGAGAGTGTGAAGTGCTACCCAGAGAGTTCGTGAATATTTGACCCAGCTATATATGAGCATAATAGAAAAAAGACAGTACAATACCTCTGTAAGACTTAAATATTGCTTCAGGCCGATGTTCGCCGTGTACCAGTGTTTATTTAGATGCGTATTATGTCTTGGGCAAGGAAAAGAGAACAGGGAGAAGCTGCAATTTCTTGAGCTCTAATTTTCCAGTGTGTAGGAACTTGACATGTTGTCTCATCCTTGCAACACGGAGAAAATAATTTCGAGCTTCATGTTATTGGTAGGGCAGTGTCTCCAAAAGTTTAAAATAACATACCCAATGGATACCACACGAGTAATACAGCCAAGGTCTAGCTAGCTAAAAACAAACACAAAAGGAAGCTTGCCATCCAGCGGATTCAGGGCTAACATTCCTGTAAGGGAGACTAGAATTAACTGCCCCTTGGGTTTTTCGGGACTGTCGGAGAAAGTTGAGGCCATCTTCTCTTGCGGAGATTGACTCGCTGGCAGTGATTCTGTTTGTTGTATAGTCTTTGCCAAAGCAGACTGCCACATCTTTTTTCCCATGGACCTGAGCGTTGGTGGTTCAAACCACTGACATTTGGCTAGCAGCCTTAGTCTGTAGTTATCGAATAATGAAAATATTTCTGTCTCTACTGGAAAAAGCGTGCGTGCGTGTGTTATTGTAGTATGAATGCATAGGGCGATTCTGCTTAAAGTCCTTGCTTTCCTCAGCCATGGAAGTGGCTTTGAATTGGAGGATAAAATTTTCTGCTTCAGGGCAAAGCTTTGTATATCCCATTAATAATTTCTATTCGTTAGGGGTTTTTTGGTTAGAACTCACAGGTGATTTTTGTGAAACTCACTAAATGATTGCTGTAGTGCAATCTGCCTTAGCCACATTCATTGTAGTACTTTGCAATCACCAATATTAAAATTCTTGCTCCTCTGAGATACAATAGAAAGTTACACAGAGGGTCTTGGTTCAGCTCTAGTAGTTTAAAATGTCTGATGAGAAAAGTAGAAATGATAGAATTTGTTTCTAGATGGTGACTATGGAACAAGTTGGATGCATCGGAGTTGGAGGTTCAAACTCACCAGCTGCTCCTTGGGAGAAAAATGAAACCGTTTGTCTTGGGAAAACCTGTAGAGGATCAGTTATGAGTTGGAATCTACTGAACTGCGATGGGTTAATGACTCATTGTAAATGCCTTTTTGCTCTCTTAAAGATATAAGTGTCTCCGGAACCCAGGGGGCAGTTCTCCTCAGTCCTATGGAGTTGGAATTACTTGGTGACAGGGTCTCTCTTGTTTGTTAGCTTGCTTGTGGTTAAGTCTAGCTCAGTGCCTAACCCAGAGTAGGTGATCTGTCAGTTCTCCAGTGTAATCTTGAGTTGATTCCTAATGAGATTTGTAACCAGTGAAGGAAGCCTGCCTACCTTTTCTCTGCAATTGCTAATTTTTTGGCCCATTTCTCATGGGAAGGAGCTCCTGTGGCGCAGTAGTTACGCTTTGGGTGATCTGCGAGGTCGGCAGTTCGAAACCACCAGCAGCTCTGAGGGAGAAAGACAGGACGTTCTACTCCCATGAAGTTACAATCTGAAGAAACTCACAGGGCAGTTTTACCGTGTCTTACAGGGTTACGAGTCACGTTTGACTTGGTGGCAGTGAGTTTGGTGTTTGTTTTTCTCAGGGGAATGTAGAAAATTGAGGATTACAAATTTCATAAATTTTTCCAGGGCTAAGATAGCGGTGAAAATAATATAAACCAGTAATTGGCAAGAAGTGCTAATCTAATTCCTAAGGCAGCTTGGGTATCCAAATAAACAAAGGTGGGCTCAGAGTAGCAGTTTAAATTGTGTTCCAATCTTTGGTCTTAAAAAGGTGTCATGTTGTCCTTGCTCTAATTAATTGACTGGTACTTCGGGGTTTATATTGAAGACTTTTCACCCCTTATCTTTTAAAAATAGTTTAGTGGTGGCATTGAAAGTTAAGATTGTGAGGCTCAAGGATTTGGGAACCCCTGAATGTTACAGATTAAGGCCTCAAGCCTCTGCCTTGGGTCTCTGCACACTGGTTTGACCTAGGCTGAACTTTGGGCTAGGGAAATGAGGTCAGCTCATAGCAGAGCCAGGAAGTAGAACCTAATGATCTCAACTCGTCGTTGAAGGTTTTGTTTTTCGTGGCCCACAATGCTGCTTTTATTGAGTCAGTCTTCAAGTCCATATGTGTCAAACCTTAAAGTTCTGTTTAAGAAGTGGCAGTGTTTTTCATTATATACAATTTCTAGGTATTTACTGCCAGTCTAACAGTCTGGTAGGTACAGTATCTTAAAAGATTTTTAGCAGAGAAGTGTTGGAAACAACACTGTAACCTCAGTCTCCTGACCAGCAGTTGGAATTGGTGAAAGCAAAACAAAATGACTCTCGGTCTTTGAAGGGCCTTCGATGGTCTGCATGGCTGCTGATGGATTAAGAACGGTCTCATTGAAACCTTTGCCCATATCTTAGCAAATAGTTACAATGTTTTATTAACCTATAAAAATAAATGAAGAAAGCAAAACCAAAACTTGATACTTGATTCTTTTCATTAGAATTCTGAGAACTTTAGAAAATGGAACAGGAACTTGAAAGTTTCAAGTTCTTATAGATCACAGATTTTCGTTTAGTTATAAACTATATCTGTAAAACCAAAGCCATTACACTAAGCTTGTTTAGCAGATGTTATTTCAGATCTGTATATAATACTGTCGGCTGTTTGACAGCATGATGGATGAATTTCAAACATTTTCCTTAACTGCCTTCTCCAGTGAGTATATTCCCAGTCTTGTTGTTCTCTTTGCTCCATGCTGCTACGTATACTAAAAAGGTCCTTGACGTAAGTAAAATCATGCTTTTTTCCCCCCTTTTACTCCTGGATTATAGATAGTGGACATAAGTTTGAGAATACAGAGGTATTTCATCTTTCTTCATAAAAGGTTACTCTTCGTTAGAACTTTGCTCTAAATTATTGGTGATTTTTGAAATGTAGTTTGAAATTTCTTATGGTTGAGGTTTCATTAAAAAGTACATTTTATAGGTAGAGGATTATATATTAAGAATTGTCTATTAGACTGCATTGACATTTGTACTACATCTCTTATTTTAATCATTTTTTAAAATTTATTAAGTTTTATTGCCAGAGATTTTTTGTCTATTCATTTTCAGTTATAATAATAAAGTAAGGAGTAGTGAATATTTTGTATAATATTCAGAGCTACTACACTCCTACCTTCTCCCTCCCAATTACTGGGTTTTAACATTCAAGCATTGATGCATTTGAATTGTGGTGCTGGAGAAAAATATTGAAAGTACCGTAGACTGCTAAAAGAACAAACTGATCTGTCTTGGAAGAAATCCAGCCGGAGTGCTCCTTAGAGGCAAGGATGGTACATACCTTCTTTGGACATACTGTCAGGAGAAACCAGTCCCTGGAGAAAGTCAGTCCTCCTGCGTGGTAGCGTGGAGGGACAGCGAAAGAGAGGAAGGGCCTCCACAAGATGGATTGACACAGTGGCTGCAACAATGGGATCAAACAGAGGAACAATTGTAAGGATGGCACAAGACTGGGCATTGTTTTGACTTGTACGTAGGGTTGCTTTGGGTCGGAACCAGCTCAATGGCACCTAACAACATGAAAGCCTACTATAGACCCATTCAAATATGTACCCCGATCAGTAAGGCATAGAGAAGAAACTGAAGATTTCTACCAACTTTTGCAGTCTGAAATTAAATCAAACATGCAATCATGATGCATTGATAATTGATGACTAGAATGTGAAATTTGGAAACAAAGGACTAGTCTGAAAAAAATGTGGCCTTAATGATAGAAATAATACTGGATTTCACATGATAAAATTTTGTAGGGCTAATGACTTTCCTATTCAAGAACCTTAGTGGTGCTGTAGGGTAAACACTGGTTGATAACTGTAAGATTGGTGGTTCAAACCCACTGGCTGCGCCACAGGAGAAAGATGAATCTACTCCCATCAAGATTTACATTCTTGGAAACCCTATATAGCAGTGCTTCTCAACCTTCCTAATGCCACGACCCTTTAATTCAGTTCCTCATATTGTGGTGACCCCCAACCATAGAATTATTTTCATTGCTACTTCATAACTGTAATTTTACTACTGTTATGAATCGGGCGACCCCTGTGAAAGGGTCGTTCCACCCTCAAAGGGGTCGCGACCCCTGGTTGAAAACCGATGTTATATAGGATCAGTATGAGTTGGAGTCCACTTGATTGCAACGGGTTAAGACTCATTCGTTGTAAATGCCTTTTTGAAGAACATAAATGTGGGAACAGTTGTGATTATGTATGTGGACTACCTATGTGGGAAAGGTCTATGGAGAAACTCAATATCATCAGTCAGGAGAAGGAAGGGATTGGGGTCTCACTGTAGCTCATGCAAGTTTAAAATGAAACTAAAGAAAATGAAAACAAGTCCACAACCCAAGTATCACCTTGAGCATATCTCACCTGGATATAGATTCCTTCTCAGGAGTAGATTTGACACATTGAACACTGATGACCAAAAGATCTGATGAGGAGTGGCATAACAGCAGCATAGCGCAGGAAGAAAGCAAAGGGAATTCTAAGGACAGGAAGGAAAGAAAAGACCAAAATAGATGTGAGTAGATAATCTGAAACTTGTTTTTGAACATAAAGTAGGTAGAACAGGTTCCCAAACTTAATAGGCTTGCTTTCCCCTTTTCAGAAAAAAAATGTTTTTATTTACACTTCTCTGGCATCTAAACACTTGTGTACTACAGCCCAAAATCAAGGATAAAGTGGAGTTATCTCATTTTCCAGGCCTCTGGATCATTTCAAGGAGCCTTGGTGGCATAGAGGTTATGTGTTGAGCTTTTATTTTTTTAGATCATTTTATTGGGGGCTCGTACAATTCTTATCACAATCCATACATCCATCCATTGTGTCAAACACATATGCACAAGCTTTTATCCACAATATCAATAGTTCCAAACCAGCTGCTTTGAGGCAAAAAGACTGGGTTCTCCTGTAAAGTCTTATAGCCTTAGAAACTCACAAGAGTAGTTCTGTCCTGCCCTATAGAGTCTCCCTGAATCAGCATCACCTTGATGGCCGTGAGTTTGGTTTCGTTGTGGGGTCATTCTAGCCACCCCCCCACCCCCCCACCACAGGCATTATCACCCAATTTGAGAAATACTGAGCCAAAGAAAATGGAAGAGATGAGGAAGTGAAAGAGCTGAACATAACATTTCAAAGGGTAGTTCTAGAAGACCAAGTAAAGTATTATAATTAAGTGTGCAAAGATTCGAGTTAGAGAACTGACAGGGAAGAAGATGCTCAACGTGTCTCAAACTGAAAGAACCAAAGAAAAACGTCAAACCTCGAATCGCAGTATTATTGAAGAATTCTTTGAACAAAGTATTGAATGATGACGGAGGCCTCAAGAGAAGGTAGAATTCAGAGTCACCAAAGCAAAAAGAATTGGTTGATAGTCTTAGGGGGACATCTGTATGGTCAACATCATACAGGCAAGACATTGTACTTTGGTGAGTAGTGACAGATTTTAAAAGCTTGAAAGTGGCCATGTAAGATAAAGTTATTGAGTCTGCTTATTTAGAGCAAAGTAAAATGAAGAAAAGCAAACACTTTATAGAAGCAATTAGACCAAATGATTAATGGAGCCTGGCTACCACTACTGACTTTGATTGCGATAATAGGAAGTCCTGGGAGAATAGCAGGAAAAGATAGAACAAAATTCAAAGTCATAGGAAAGACCGGACTTACTGGTCTGATAGAGACTGGTGGAATCCCCCAAACTAGCTGTTAGCCATTCCTCAAAGTTGGAACTGAAACCACTTGGAGAGACCACCTCTCAGCCAAGCAATAAACAGACCTGTAAAGGGAACATGAGGAACATGCTCTACAGAAGTCAACCATAAGAGATCAAAAAGGCAGCATCTGCCCTAAGACAAAGTCCTGAAGCAGGAAGGGGTAGGAGAGATGAAGGACCGGGAAGGAAGTGAGAAGAGTGTTAGCATATTGAGTGAATTGCAACTGTCATGAAACAAAATGTGTGTAAGTTAAGTGGGAAACTAACATGCTCTGTAAACATTCATCCACAGTAAAATGTTCAAAACTAAATGCCAAAGAATTGCTTAACATTTAACCATTCATGGGATAGCAAGAGATCAAGAAGGAAGGAATCCAAGTTGCATTGAAGGAAGGCATTGTTTAAAGAAAACCAAGCCTGCTGGAATTGCTGGCATTGTAATGAAGGTCTTTCAGCAAATAGCTACAGTCTGAGAGTACTGACTCAGCTATGTGTGCCAAGAAATTTGGGAGACAGATGACTGGCAAGCCAACTGGAAGAAATCCATATTTGTGCCCGGTCCAAAGAAAGACAACCTGACAGAATGAGAAAATTATTGGACAATATTAATATTGCACTCAAAGTTTGAAATTGTCCAGGAGTAATTTTACTTGGAACCACAACCAGTGCCCAAAGCAGCATCAGCCAAGAAGTATAAATATGGTGTCTTAATTAATGCTCTCTGTTTTACTTCTCTGGGGTCTAATATCCATTGCAATGGCTACACAGAACTCAGATAATTCATGATTAAAGAGAGTTAACAAGTTGTAATGTCAGTGAGAAATGTTCAGGATGGTTGTCTAGAAGCGCATATTGAAAAGCCCTTTCAGGTCTGCTAATAAATGCCCAAAGGGGGGAAGGGGAGTGGACATACCACTCCTCAAAGCCTCGAGCAAAAGGCACTAAGCTCCAATAAGCCCCGCTTCGCCAAAGTGCCCAGAGGCACCCTACTCCACAGGCTTTACTTGCCTCACGTAAAGACTTCCCAGCCACCACTGTGTTCCATGCTTTGGCTCCTCACTCTGCTGCTGCTCCTCTTCTGATGTTGTAGCTGTTTTGGATCCAGGAGGTTCACTACACAGGAATCTCCGGTCTAGAGCTCGCATTCTCATCCTGGCTCTTACTGGTAAGGAGATCCCTCCTCCTGCTTCTGAGGGTGCTCATTTTATACGCAGTCGAATGGCACTCCAAGCACTCCTGTCCACAGTTACAAGTGAATGCCATCAGTGTCTTCCTCCACCTTCTTTCTAGACCCATGCATGGGAAAGGCCCTTTCATGGGAGGAAGAGACTTTGGGTAGAAGGGCCACATTGAATAATTCACTGCCCTGGCCATCAAGTCATGAAGAACGAGAAAGATCCTCAGGGAGATGGGCTGATACAGTGCTTTAGTAATGGGCCCAAACTTAGGAATGATTGTGAAGATGGTACATGATTGGGCAGTTTTTTGTTTTATTGCATATAATTATTGTATATAATTGGAAATGACCCTGTGCTTAATAACATAATTCTTTGGTTATAGTAGCAATTGAACTCTGTAGTTTCTATCCTTAGCTAAAAAGTCACAGATATTTTAAATAGGTTTTATTATGGATGGAAAGAAATAACCAGCATTTTTGTGAAATAATCATAATCTTAAGAAAAAGAAAGCATCTAAATATGAAAAGAACTTCTAAAGTTGTTTTTCTTATTACTTCAAATATACAGTATACAATAATGCAGGAAAGCATATTGTTTTGCCCTTAAATAGTTTTATCATCATTTCCAAATATTGGCTTTTGGATGTATGCTATTTTTTTAAAGAAAAATAATTGAGTCATCAGAAATAATTTTTTAATGCTTGTTTTCTTTTGTTTTAGGCAAAGGGTTCAAATAGTTTGCCTCTGCTGAGATCGGTCTTGGATAAGCTAAGTGCTAATCAACAGAATATTCTGAAATTCATTGCTTGTAATGAAATTTTCTTGATGCCTGCTACAGTTTTTATGCTTTTTAGGTAAGAATAAAAACATACTTCCTTTGAGAGACTGATTACTAAGCGAAGATAATATAGATAATAACACGTAGATGACTACTAAGGTCCGTCGACCCTGGCTCATCATGACCAGTGGACTTAGCAGTCATGTACTTAATATAGCCCTTTTCCCTTGACAGCAGAGACGCTCAGACATTTATCTTACCATCTTTTGTGACTTACCATTTAACACTGGAAATTTTTCATAATACTTTTGAGAAACTTGGGAACTGTACTCCAATCTGCCATTATTGAGGTGATTTTTCTTAGACTACAGAATGAATTGTAAGCATCGTGGTCTTGTACTAAGTTTAAGGAGCCCTGGTGTTGGGCCATTAACTTCCAGGCTGCAGTCAGAGCCACCAGCCACTATGTGGGAATCCGATGAGGCTGACTGCTTCCTTGAAGATTTACAGTCTCAGCACTGACAAGCAGCTGCATTTCGCTGCTGGGTCTCTGTGAGTTGGGGTGGTTTCGGTGGCAATGGGTTTGTTTTCGAGTGTTAAGATTTAAAGCTATTCATGAATACTGTCTTTCAATTTTGCCATAATAACTATATAAAATAAACTGATTTGTTTTTAACTATACAAGTAATATATGAATACATATTGCTAAAGAAAGCTTTCTGTTTAAGAATTAAACATTCAAATGGAATATTAAACTCCCCAGTGATGGTCTTGAATTTAAATTTTAAGCAAGTGTACATTTTTCTCCAGTGGTTCCTCTTCAGTTTCTCACTAGTACTAGATATTGCAGAGAAAAGCTAAAATTGTATTTGACTGTGAATCCTAGTAATTCCACACTCTCTAGCTCATCGGTAACCTCTTGGTTCAGCGGTTCTCAACCTGTGGGTCACGACCCCTTGAGGGGTCAAAAGACCCTTCACAGGGGTCACCTGATTCATCACAGTAGCAAAATGACAGTTATGAAGGAGCAACGAAAATAATTTCATGGTTGGGGGTCACCACAACATGAGGAACTGTCATGTTAAAGGGTCACGGCATTAGGAAGGTTGAGAACCACTGTCTTGGTTTGATGTGTACACAAATAGTTGTTTTGAAGTACTCTTGTAAACCCATAGAAAACAAGGCATTATTTAGTTTTTATTTCACATCGTAGATATCATAGTGTATCAGTTCTTCAGGCCTTGCATTTTTCCCTCACGATGTGTTTTTGTGACCTATTAATGCTGTTGCAAGCTGTCATTCATCTTAATTGCTCTGACATTCCTTCTAAGGGGCCCTTGTGGCATAGATGTTTAAACTGCAAAAGGTAGTTTGAGTCCTCCCAGCCACTGCAAGAGGAAGCCCAGGAAATGACTTCCATTGAGTACAGCCCAGAAAGCCCTGTGGGGCAGGTCTGTTCTCACAGGTGGCTGTGCATTGAAATGGGTTCAACAGTAGTGCTCCATCTGACTTGTTTGCTTTGTTTCATTGCTCATTCTCCTACTGATGGACACTGGACTTACCAGATGGTTATTTTCAAATGTTGGCGAAACATCGTTTTGCCCGACAGTGCTTACTTATTTGCCAGTGACTTCTCTAATGTAGATAACCAGAGTTGAACTTGCTGAATATCAGCCAGATGCCCATGCTGACTCATACCGACCCCTGCTACGGGTTTCTGAGACTGTAACTGCTTAAGGGAGTAAAAAGCCCAGGCTTTCTCCCACGGAGTTGCTGGTGGTTTCAAACTGCCAACCATGTGGATCGCAGTCCGACACTTAGCCACTATACCACCAGGGCTCCTTTTTTATATTTAACAGACCTTGTCAAATTGACTTCTAAAATGTCTGTGTGACCTGTTTTCTGCAATCTTGTTACTATGTAACAAAGAATTTATTGAGTATAATATTCTATTTCATTTCTATGAGTATTACCTTGATTAGCGAATAAGGTCTTTTTACTTATAAGTTACTCTTTTTTTTTTTTTTTTATTTTACTGGGGGCTCATACAACTCTTATCACCATCCATCCATCCATCCATTGTGTCAAGCACATTTGTACATTTGTTTCCCTCATCATTCTCAAAACATTTGCTTTCTCCTTGAGCCCAGCTTCTCATTTTTTTCTCCCCTCTCCCCCATTAACCCTTGATAATTTGTAAATTATTATTATTTTGTCATATCTTACACTGTTTGACATCGCCCTTCACCCACTTCTCCACTGCCTATCCCCAGGGAGGAGGTTCTGTGTAGGTCATTGTAGTTGGTGCCCCCTTCCTCCCTCTCCCTCCCTCACGCTCCCCACCGTACTCTTTCCTTTAGCAGTCTTTTTTTTTCCAATCATTTTATTGGGGGCAAATAAAAAAAATCTTTAGCAGTCTTTTATCAAGCAAATAACAAAATTTTATAGAATTGTTCTGTAACACCATGACCACTATTTGCTGCTTAAGTTGTGGGGTTCAAAACTAGATATATATAATCTAAAATAAAGTTCTGGTATGGTACAACCTAAACACTTTTTACTGGTTGTTCCAAAACCAAAGGGAACTCATTGCCAGAGAATCGATTCCAACTCACAGCAACCCTAGTGATGCAGTAAGCGGCTAACCACAGGTTGGCAGTGTGAAATCACTGCTCCCAGAGAGCCTAGCCTTTCCACCCCTGTCAATGTTAGCAGTCTCTGAAGCCCACCAGAACAGTTCTACCCTGACCTAGAGGGGTTGCCATGGGGGTATTTGTATTCTAGTTGACTTGACCATTAACTGAGCCTTCTGATCTTTTAATTCCTTATTAAAAAGCTAGTGCTGTTTGAAATAGGTAGTCTCCTAAAAATCCGACAGCTGTAAGATTGGGTGCTGGAGGATAAGCTCTGCTGCAGCTATATCAGCTATCCAACTCTGAAATTTTAACCCAAGCTGAATGTTAGTAAGACTTCTTATCTTCAGACTGAAGGAACTTAGAAGTTGAATGTCGTCCAGGGGAAGTGAGAAGATCAGAATTCCCCTTTTCTCCTCGTAGTTTATATAGCCTTTTCACCTTTCTCTCTTGTTAGCTTAGTCTGACATAGAAACGTGTTTTAATTTCCCCAATTATTTAAACTACCACTTACCTGTCAGGCTGTTAATCTGTGTGTTACTGTGATGCTGGCAGCTGTGCCTCGGGCCTTTCAAGTCCCAGCAAGGTTACCCTTGGGGAACATGTTTCTGCAGACCCTCCAGATCAGCGGTTCTCAACTCCTTTGGGGATCAAACGACCCTTTCTTAGGGGTCGCCTGATTCATAACAGTAGCAAAATGACAGTTAGGAAGTAGCTACGCAAACAATTTTACAGTTGGGGGGTCACCACCACATCAGGAACTGTGTCACAGGGTGGCAGCCTGAGGCCGGGCGAGAACCCCTGCTCCACACTAAGAACAGCGAGGAAGAAGTGTAGATGGTCCATTTCGAGGGGTGGAGCCCTGAACACCTTGTGAGTAAGGTTGTACATAGGGTCATCCCAATGCTGCCTAACAACAATTATTTTAAAACTGTTTTGCCCTCTTACTCTCTTGATCATATTTTCTGTTTCTTGGGTTGTTTCAGGTCACAGCAGGTTCAGTGTTTGTTTGTAACCGGATGAAAGCTAAAATGATAGCTGCCAAGGCTTGTTTACTAGTGATATGGTTGAGCCCACATTTGAAACCTCCAGTTTCTGTTTTCTAAGCAAAATATTGTATATCCTCTTAAACCAGTTTAAGATACTAGGGAAGCACTGAAATGCCATGCAAATTAACACAAAAGCTGTGTTTTGGAACAGTGAATTTCTTGTTGGAGCACTGTGTTTTGATGACATTGGTATAGTAACTCAGTTTTGTAACTTAACGTTTTATTTGAATATTTAATGTATCTAAATTTATTATTTTAATTCCCAAGATTATTGTAAAGAATAGAATTTGCCAGAAACATTGAAATAGAAAAATAAATTTATTACTTTAAAAATATTTGTTATAAGTTTTACTCAGTCCCTCATAGGAAAAACTATTAATGCTCTATGTGTGCCACTTGAATATAACCAAATTAAAATTCATAGTCTTAAATCTTTTTTATTTCTCATTTGCTGCAAGCCTAATCTAACCCTACAATATTATATCAAGTTCTATGAATCTTTTACCCTAACACCCAGGGTCCTTTATTTACAAATGAACATAAATGTTACGATTTTATCCTATATACACTTGCATATGTACGGAGCAGATGAAAGGATGAGCCTTGTAGCTTTATGATTATAGTTGAACTATCCTATATATTCGTAAGTAGTGATCTCTTTAGTGATACCTGCATGAAAAAGAATATCTGAATTAAGATATAATAAAGTAGTTTGTGTTGTGTGGGATGATCTTCAGGTATAACAAGTTAAAGAGTTGAGTAAGAACAGTGTAGTGGATGCCTGTTTATGTTTTGGGATGCAGTATATGTGTGGTTTAAGGGCATATTTCCATCTACCTAAGTTTCTTAATATTTAAGAGTTGATTCTAATGACACCCCCTTCTTAGAGTGAGCACTTTAGAGGCTAGTCTTCATATGCACACGAGTGTGTGCGCTTCTAGAAGACTGTATTAGAGACTGCTATAACCTTGAGGAAGGGTTAAGTAAAATGATGGGAACCTGATGTTGTAAGTGAATACTCTCTTGCATATCTATTTTCTATTGTTGCAGTATATTTTTATATTTACTTTTTCAATATAAAAAGATAAGGATTTGCCAAATTTATTGGGGGGGGAGAATGAATGAAGCATTGGTTTAATGATAAAGTTATAATTATGTTTTATTTTGAAAATAGTATCATAATTTAGGAAGTAAAATAATCTCAAAAACCATCCCTAGCATTTTAATATATTTCTTCCCATTAAAGTCTTAATTATAATTATACAGTTATAATTATAATTTTGTATTCAGTTTTTTTCTCCAAGTTGTGATAACGTATTCTTACACAGTAACTTTGTTATTTGCTGGTCACCTAGCATATTCACATTGTACCTCCCTTTTTAAGAATAACTCATGGGTTATATGTGATCGATGTTATTATGATCATTCGATGAAAAATGACACACATATTCTCCAATTGAATTGCCTTATAACTTCTGGGAGTCTACCTATGATACATCCCTTTATCTTGATTTTGTTTCTTTCAGCGGTCAAGGAAGTTTACTCCAACCCTTTATATACTACAGATTTCTTACTCTTCGCTACTCTTCTAGGAGGAATCCCTATTGCCGGTAAGCTGACAGCTCATTTAAATTTACTTCTTTGCTCTAGAGACTAGTGGAAATACCCGTGTTTGTACCTCATAGGAGCTGTTCAGCTCATTGGTTAGACTTGAAAAAGAAACAAAACCACAGTCTCTGGAACTTTCTTTGTAAAAGCAGGGTGTGGTGGCAAGGGGTGGGGGTGGGGGTGGACAAGAGTTCAAGATAAGTATTCTCCAATCAGTGTAAGAATGATTCCCGTTATTGTTTCAGTACTATGGTGACTTACAAGAGGGAGATCTCAGTGAGCCAGGAGAGCCCGGAAAGGATTCACAAAGTGGAGATTTGTTCTAGAAAAGATGAAAGTTTCTGAATAGACATCAAGAACAGGGCAAAGGGCTATAGGCAGGGAGACAGGAGGCACAGGCAGAGACGTGCCGCGTGTGAGGGGCATTGAGTAGGGCTGCTAACTGTTGGCACTGCCATCAGGTCGATTCCAACTCAGCAACCCTACAGGACAGTCGACGGTCCCTGTGGGTTTCCCAGACTAAATGTTCACAGCAGTAAAAAGCCTTATCTTTGTCCCTGTTAGACTGTGATGGAGATTTTTTGAATTTTTAAAAAAATCATTTTATTAGGGGCTCATACAACTCCTATCACAATCCGTACATACATCAATTGTGTAAAGCACACTTGTACATTCATTGCCCTCATCATTCTCAAAACACCCGCTCTCCACTTAAGCTCCTGGCAACGGCTCATTTTTTCCCCATCCTTTCCCCCTCCCCCCTCCCTCATGAACTCCTGATAATATATAAATTATTATTTTGTCATCTCTTACACTGTCTGACATCTCCCCTCACCCACTTTTCTGTTGTACATCCCCCAGGGAGGAGGTTATATATAGATCCTTGTAATTGGTTCCCCCTTTCCACCCCGATTTTTTGAATTTTGTATTACTTGCTTAAGAGTAGGAAAGTATACTGGGGCCCTATCATAAAACTTCTTGAATTTCAGGATAAGAAGTGTGGAATTTACCTTTTAGGTATTTGAAAAGAATGATTGTTTTTGGTAGGACAAGAATTGTCTTCTGATTTATACAAATACATTGAAGAAAAGAACAGTGGATTGCTGTAGTATTCCAGGAACTCATTGAAATTAATACACAGTAAATTAGGCACTCGTAGCCTAAAAGTGAAAGGTAAAATGAAAACGAATAGCTGGATTTTGATAACTTGTTTTTTCCATTAAATTTAAAAATAGATTCATCATCTATATTAGAATTTAGTCCCAAATCCAATTAGTGCTTTGGGATGGTCCCTACTATATTTTAACAATAGGAAGTGAAAAGTACAGAATTTGAATGCTGGCTCATCATTTAGCAGGTGTGTAATTCTAGGTGAGTTATTTACATTTAAATGTCTTCACTGGTAGAGTGTCGTAGGAGGAACTCTGGTGGTAGAGTGGTTCTGCGTTGGGCTGCTAACCCAAGGCCTGCAGTTTGAAACCACCTGCTGCTCTTGCAGGAGAAAGACTGGGCTTTCTACTCCCATATGGTTCCAGTCTCAAAAACCTACAGGGGCAGTTCGACCCTGCCTTAGAGGGTCTCTGAGTCAGCACCATGAGAAAGGGTGTTGTAAAATAGGAGTGGCATCAGCACCTTTCTAACTTCAGGAGGATGAATGACCAGTAGCAGCCCCAAGCTGATCCCCATGAGTGGAGGACAGAGTACCTCCTTACCCATTCTCACACTAGCTCCCCCTCCCATGTCCTCTACCATTGCAGTGGCCACAATTAAAGTAGTTTATAAGTACAATTCGGGAACAGATCCGGAAGCATACAGAGAAAGTCTCCCTTTTTCATTATGGGACGGCACTCAGATCCTGGCTGCTCAGGCTTCCTCTCAACCCTATTCGTTCATGCTGTGCTTGGCCCCCCAGGGCAGATGGCCCTGCCTTCTAGCACCATGTACTCTGACCCCGGACTCTTTTATGAGCCTGTCGCTATAGTTAGTGTCTCAGTTCTCTCTGGGTGTTCCTTTCCTCCTCCTTTCTCTGCTTCTCTGTTCTTCCTTCTGCTACTGTCTGAAAAACTTATGTGTGATCAGCTGTGTATATATACTGTATATACACCAAACCAAACCCACTTCCATCGATCCAGTCGATTCAGACTCAAACAGGACAGAGTAAAGTGGCTCCCTAGGGTTTCCGAGGCTGTCTCCTGAGGATTGGCTGATAGATTTGAACAGCTGGCCTTGTAATTAGCAGTCTCATACTTAACTCAATGAACCACCAAGTCTCCTTCCAAATACCCATACCCACTGCCATAAGTTGATTCTGACTCATAATTGCTTTCTGTAGGGCTCCCAAGGATGGAGGTCTTCATGGGAGTAAATAGCCTCATCTTTCTCCCATGGAGTAGCTAGAAGGTTTGAACTGCCACCCTTGTGGTTAGTGGTACAGTGCTTACCCAACAATACCGCCAAAGTTACTTGCATCCTACCCATGAAATGTCAGACACCCTGGACAAAAATAGCTCAGCCTTGATGATAGAGAACTAGGGCTAAGATAACCCCTGAGGTAGGGAAAATTATCTCTAGTTGTTTTTCCAGAGAGCCAAGGTGAAAGGTCGCACAAAAGAACTCATTTCACAACAGAGATGAAGAGAAATGGTATTTAAAAGTAATAAGACTCTTCAGTTCTTAATGTTTCTTATTTTATACAATTCTGATGATTCGCTTTTAAAGGGATCTTTGTGTTCTGTTGGACAATGTCTTCCCCCCTGAATGTTGTTATTGCTTAGAGTAAATTAGTCATTTCTTCAGGTAGACAAAAGTTCTTCACGAGCCCCTCGAAAGAAAAGAGGCCTGCCTTCCACTGATTCAATGCCGACTCCCAGTAACCCTGTACGACAAGGTAGAGCTGCCCTGTGCGTTTCGGAGAATGACTGTTTACGCCAGTAGAGAGTCCTGTCTTGCTCCCTCAGAGGAGCTGGTGGTTTTGAACTGCTGACCTTTCAGATTGTAGCCCAACTTGTCAGGGCCCCTCAGGAGCCCCTGGTGGCTAAGAAATCTACAGTTTTACTAGTTCCCATGGATTTTTGTGTTCTTCTGTCGATGTACTCGTGTCAGACATTCCCTCGGGTCTCCTTTCTGGAATTGGTAGTCACTAGCCGAGTTGCTCTTTGTGCTTTTCGCCCTTTCCTCCTCTCACAGCTCTCCTGTTCCAGTGAAAATGTGCGTGTGGAAATGTTCAGTAGAGCGGAAGCACAAGGACGGGTTATTTTTACTGAATCAAGATGACAAAATGAGTGTTAGTAAACATTTTTTAACATACCCCATAAGGATACATTTTAATATAACAGTGAGAAAGTGTCAGGAAATATTTTAACTTAAAAATACTGATAAACTTATAAAACTCTATTTTCTATAAAACAATAGAGTTTTGAGAGAGTATTAGTTGCAGCTTTCTTCGTTCTCTTTTACTCCACACGAGTAGAGAACAGTAGTTGTTTCTGAGACGACCGCTCACAAGCCTTTACCAACATTAATCTCCAATCTTGGGTTTAAAAGATAAGTTCTTAAACTTAGTTGGCCTATTGCCCCCTTTCAGGAAAAAAATGATTCATTGCCCCCTTGGCAATTAAAAACTTTTGTACTCTAGTCCTAAATCCAGGATAAAGTGTAGGTGTCTGCTTTAGCAGCATGTCTCCCTTTCTCCCCAACCCCACACCTCCGCCAGCAGGGTGCAGTATCACCAGCTTTCTGAAACACTGATACAGAACATTATCTTTATGAGCTGTTAACTACGTTGTCCCCCCAAAACAGGGTTCTAAGTCTTTTACCCCAGTAAAACGTGTGAATGTTTAAGAAACCTCTGTTACCAAAGCTCCCTATGTACTTATTATGTAAAAGAGGACTTCAAAAAGTTCACGTAAAAATGGAATGAAAAAATAATAGAAAATAAAAATATAGTGGAATTTTCCCATGAACTTTTAAAGTCCTTTTGAATTTGGGTACATGTGCAATACATACAAGCATGTATATGTACATGACTATAGATAGTCCTGTACATGTATGTGCACGTAGTCACATGTACCTTCTACATCCGTGTATATTTATCTTCTTATGTAACTACAGACACACTTTTTGGGTGGTGTTGGTTACTGTCTTTTGCAAAATTGTAGGTGTGAACAGCACCTACTCAAGAAATGGCCTGCTTTACTCGTGTACTTCTTTCTCAGTGCCTTCTTTTACCTTGGCCAAGCTGTGCTCACTTCACCCGTATTTGGTATTGCCTATCCTATCACCAAAAATGGCATGTCAACTCGCCACCTTCCTATTCCGCCCATGCCTGGTAAGCGTCAATGAAAGTGGTCATCAGTGTTTGTTCTTTTGTGGTGGACTTACTTCATTCAGCTTAATGTTCTCCAGATTCATCTGCTCAAAGATGTTTTGTGGGATCCTCCTTTATAGGATTTCATTGTACCATGTACACTCACGGCTCAAGTATCCACGTGATTTGACTCCAAAGTCTAGGTCATTATGTGTTGCTAGAGTTTAGGAAATGCATGTCAAGATTTGTGTTGGGGACCTGGGTTTGACACCTATTTAGATGTAGGAGAAGCCTTCCAGGTTTTCAACTTGGTGGAAGGTTGGGAATGATGAAATCTGATGCAGAGATCTAGCACAGGCAGGTGGCCGTAGCCTCCTCAAGAGGAGGAAAAGGGAGGCCACTCTAAAGGCTCTTACAGCAGTCTACTGACGGTAAATGAGACTCAACTCAGCGCATCGAGTCAGCACCAGCACTCGGCACCCTAGAGGTAGAACTACCCCTGTGGGCTTCCCAACACAGCTCTTTTGTATCTTTCTTTGTTTTGGTTTTTTTTTTATGGGTACCTAATCCACATTTCATACAATTCAATAGTTCAATCATGTCATATCAAGAATTGTACAATGATTACCACATCAGTTTTAGAACTGAAACCTCACCCCCACCCCGCACACACACACCCATGGTTAAATGAGTTGTGTAATCACAATCAGGTCTAGTACTCCCTCCCCCCTCCCACTTTTATTCTGTACTCCTGAAATCCCCCCATCCTCCCTATATCCCACCCTCTACCCCTACATATCCTTGAACCCTTGCTTCAGTTATTATCTCTATGCATCCACTCCTGTGCGTCACAAACTGGGAAACCCAATCAAAACAATAAAAAACAAAAGCGAACCAAGATGGTACGGATAAAATAAAAATAATATAAAGATAAAAATACGAACAATGAGTAGGACAGAAAAGACCACTCAATATTTTAAAAGCCAGGGAAGAAATTTTTGTCATCTGACATGCAAGAGATCCTTGCACCTAGAACAAATTCAGCGTGGACCAATAGGGAGGGCAGCTGACCACGTACCAAGCTTGATGCAGCATAATCAAGATTACAGTGATTTCTGATAGTAAGACTGTTCGAGACCCTTGCCTGTGGCTCGCGGGGGCTGCCAGCCACTTACAATCTAACTAGTTACTCTGCAGATGGGTTTGGGCCGTACACTGCCCTCAATAGCCTTCACCAGTTGGGTGTTCTTAATTTTAGCTCTGATACTTTTCTCTTTGTCATATTTGAATTTTGTTATTGTCATCTTTGGATCACACAAGCTGGTGTGCTCCTTCCATGTGGCCTTAGTTGACTACTCGCTTAGAAGGCTGCTTGTTTGAATACAAGCCTAGACCCCGGACACTATTCTGATGGATAGCTAGGCACCATCTGCTTTCTTCACCACACTTTGCTGTAGCTCCCTTAACTTCAGTGATCATTTCATGAAGGTGACTATCGAGCAGGGTCATGTTACCAGAACTGGTCTTGGATTGGGGCAAGAGTTAAGCAGGAACCCAGACTCCATCTGCATGGACATGACTCTTTGTGGCCATAGAAAGCCCGCCTTTCTCCTGGACCCTCTGGTGGTTTCCAACTGCTGACCCTGCGAGTCTTAGCCCGATGAGTAGCCAACTAATTCAGAGGTAAAGGAAAGAAAGGATACATTTGAAAGGTAGTAGGCATAGAATCTTGAGACTTGGTGAAGAGTGAGATTAAAACAACCTTGGGTTTCTGGCCTGGAAACCTAAGAGACCTGTGGGGAAAGGTGCTTTATCACTAAGATAGAAGATACAGGAGAGATCAGGTTTCTAGGAAAATAGGTCTTTTCAAATTTTCTACCATTGTGTGTGTGTGTGTGTGTGTGAGAGAGAGAGAGAGAATATCAGACACAGCTTACATATTTTTTAAATGTATAGTAGATTTACTCCCCCCAAGGTAACAGGATAGAGCAGTGGTTCTCAACCTTCCTAATGCCGCGATCCTTTGATACTGTTCCTCATGTTGTGGTGACCCCTCCCTCCAACCATAAAGTTACTTAAGTTGCTACTTCATAACTAATTTTGCTACTGGTATGAATCGAGCAACCCCTGTGAAAGGGTCGTTCAACCCCCAAAGGGGTCGGTGCCCACAGACTGAGAACCGCTGGGAGAGAGGAGGCCCAGGAACTGTCTTTATCCAGGAGTAGGTTCTTGGAAAGGAGCTCTGGGATGTAGTGGTTTCCATGTTTGGCCGTTAACCACAATGTCTGTGGTTCAAATCTACCAGCTGCGCCTGCTCAGATTACAGCCTTGGAAACCGGGAATAGTGTCACTGTCGATTGGAATTGACTCGATGGCAGTGTTCGAGGTCTTGAGTCAGTGCAGGAGACAGTCTGTGAGCAGTCATAATTACCCGCGATAATCCTTCAAATCACCTAGAATTTACCGTTTACCACATTGATCTGGTCTTTACTAGTCTGTACAATGTATGTGTGATGGTTACAGTTCGCAAGGAATATAATAAAGTACTCTGTTAGGCATATAATACAGGAGGAAAGTCTGCAGCTTGCTTTTGGAGTAAACAGGCAGCATAGCTGTAATGTAGGGCTCACAGCAGGAGCTGGGGAGCTGGACCAGAAGACTAGGTCGACCGCGGATTGCGGAGGTCTATGAAGGTGATGATGAGAAACTGGACACTTACCAAAGGCCAAAGAGAGCCAGTGTTCTTTTTCTTGAACAGCTACTATTATACACACACACACACACACACACATATATACTATTATATATGTATATACACACACACACATATATATACTATTATATATGTACATACACACACACACACACACACATATATATAAAGTGCCTCATTTACACTTGATCCTGGTGGTATAGTACAGACTCCTGTTTTACAGATGAGGGAAGCCGGGAAGGTATGTTCCTTTCAGGAAATGGCTGGGATTGCCCATGTTATATAATTTTCTCTCTTTTTCAGAGCTAGATTAATCTGCCTAAATTAAGTATGAGAATGTAGGATTCTGCTCTCAAGAAGGAAGCATAAATCTCATAATCTCAGAGATAGCCATTTATTAAATGCTTTTTTGTTAAATAAACTTTTCCACCCGCGAATGACACAAATGTTGATTTTGAAGATTTCAGTGTGTGTGTTCCCTCGAAAGTATCTTATATTGATTTCTTTAAGTTTTTTAATGGTCCTGGGAAATTATTTCCTGGCATGTTCCTGCTTTTTTCCCCTGTGTTTCTGAAATCAAGCAATTTTGTCTTACAGGACCTTGTTTAATGAATTGAGGATTGTTGTGGAGCACATCATAATGAAGCCTGCTTGCCCCCTGTTTGTGAGAAGACTTTGTCTCCAGAGCATTGCCTTGATAAGCAGACTGGCACCAACAATGGCATAGTTTAATACCCAGTTAAGTTATATATAATATAAACATTATTAGCAGCTGGTACTTCTGCTAGCAGGTTGTAAATTCCAGGTGTTACACTGACCTCAATCCAACTTACATAATTTGCATAATTTCATCACTCAAGGAAAATCCTTCTCCACCACCACCACACAAGTCAAGCCTTTTCAGAGAAGTTTTCGAGAACATTTCCTGTGCTATGTTGTTAAAGGAAGCTAGTATCTTGTGATAAATGTACCAGATTTGATTTAGATGTTGCTGTGCCTGTATCATGAAGTACATTTTAAAATTGTTTTTAAAGAAAACAAAAACTCAGCCTGAGTGAGAACCTATGTTTGTCTCTGGCATGGGTTCTTTATTGTAATATTAGTACATGCAAATTCAGTATATTTTAAGACAGCATTTTTCTTTCTGTTTATTAATTTTGGTTGCTGATTTTAGGAGAAGCATTTCCCAATGAACTGAACTTCCAGTTGCTATTAGATTGATCTTTTGCTGCTCTCATAAGATAGATTTATTTGGATGTAGCATTGAAGAGGAATTCCATGTGTATCTTACTATGACCATCAGATTTAACCCTTGTGGTTTTGAATATTTAAAGAAAGGGTGGGGGGAAAGCCCAATTATAAGCATGTTAACCAATTGGATAAATATTTGAAATCATCTAACCATTTAATCCTAAAGAACTACTACATTCTTTAGAAAATAACGTGCCCACATAAATAACCCTCATGGGAAACTGAAACCCGAGGGGATTGCTTGAGTTGCCAAAAAATGCAAGCATTCCTAGCGTTAAAAATACTACTCAAAAGAAACTAACACTATTCAAAGGAACGTGACTCAAGGAACGTGCTAACACGCTCTCCTTTGGTCTACGTTTCTCAAACAGGAAAGCCTCCTTTTACAAACTAGACACACAGGTCATTGGTATTACTCTACAGTTTCTGGAATTACCTAGTTCAGATTCCTGATGACTGCCAAGTTTCTCAACTTTTCTTAGGCTTGGGTTTTCCTAGGCAATTGTAGCAATTCAGACACCTTTTGAAAGAAATGTAACAAGATTGAACATAGGGGGCCCCCTCTCCCAACTATATTTGGTGTCCTGAAATAATAATGAAGGTTATTCTGTAGATCACTTACTTGCCCATCAAATCTGTTTTAAAAAGCTAAATGAGAACATTTATAGGTAAAGTATTTATTAGTTAAGAATGGGACCAGAGGACACTTTGTGGAGTAGAGGGTACATAGGTAAATTTGGGGGAATTGGGTATATTATGCAAATGTGATTTGGGCTGGGTGGTATGTTAAATCCTGTTAGCTTCCCTGAACTTTTTTATAAAATTCCTCTCAATCTTTATTATTGTTGCACGATTGGAAATGTTTAAAGTGTAACATTTTAGTACAGAACAATGTAATGGTTTTTGTAACGGATCTTTCTGTGTCTGCATGTAATTTGAATTTATCAAATACATTCATTGGTAACTTATCAACATCATCAGTTTTCTTTTTGTTCAACCTCCAAATCTAGACAAAGGTGATAATTGTATGATTACAAAAATTCTACTCAATCGTTGTTATTTGCTTGGAGTCAGCTATGACTAGCTATTTTTATATTTTTGTAATATTTATCCACTGAGTTGGAGAAGCAACCTCAAAACGTGCAGTTGAGTGTGTGTGACCTCATCATCCTTATATATGTAACCCAAGAGTTTGAAAACCTAAAATTTCTAGAGCAATAAAGTGACTGGTAACATTAAGTAGATAGCATATTGCTGATTGCTAATGATGTTTAAAAATTTAACTGTTGAATTAGATTTTGGTGGCTGAAGACATTTACTTGGAAGTTACTGGTTTTCCTTTTGTCTACAATTTATTTTCTATCCTGAAATATTATTTGTTTTCTGGAAATACCGTATGTGCTTTCTTCTGCTGTCCCCGTTGTTATTAATGTCTTACCTAGCGATTGGAACATTTCTCCAAACTGAGCAATGAACTCCGGCACAGTGTTCTTGAGAAGTAAGTAAAGGGCTTGTTCAGACTCGCGGTGTCCATTTCTAGTCCCCTCTCTGTGGGACAGCCTTGACATCTTGCTGTCTCTTCTGAGCGTTTCCTCTCAGGCTTGAGAATTAAAAATATTTTCATAAAGGGAAAATTTGCGTTGCTTTTAACATAATTCTAACATTAAAATGACTACAAATGGCGACATTCCTTTTAATTGAGACTCTCACATTAACCAGAAGTGCAGGATCTGGTAGGCTCACGTTTGACTACAAATGCAGACTTGGTAGCAAAGCTTGATTTATAAAGCAAACACTTAATAAACTCTGGCATGAGAAAAGTCTCCAATTTGACTATCACTAGGTGTTTAGTTTACCTGAAATTGTAGTGAGGAACTCTACAGTAAGAATAATTACAACCAGCCAATTTAGCATCAAAGTTAGAGGGTGACATGCATGGTTGTCAAGTTGAGATGAGAGAATGACAAGAGCAGTCTTCAGAACGAATGCTGTACGTACGAGGAATGACTTCTTCCTGCGTAGCTCCTGGCTCACAGGTGTAGAAGAATTGCTGGAGCCCCCGGGACTTCCGATTCTTCAGGAAGTAGTACAGTGCCATTTTCCTGCCAGCACTTTTCCAGGAAACCCTCATGGCCAAATGGGAGCCTTGTAGGAAACCTGCTTTCTTCTGTTTCTCTTGGGTACTTGATTCCTCGTGAATCGGAACTCTTTGCAGCAGTCACTCAAAGGGGACATTTCTTAAATACAATTTGTATTTAAATGTTCTTAGCATGAACATTGCTGTGGTGAAGTGCTCTAGAAAGCAAGCCAGCCTTCATTTTTGGGGTGTCTTTAAAAAAAAAAAATTGGATCTTCAGGAAGCTCCTCTATAGAGAAAAATCAAGAACTCATTAAAGCGGAAGTCATGGATGATCAGAGGTGTCAGCTATGTAACTAAGATGGCCAAAGCTGTTGATTAGAAAAATAAGGATCAAAAATTCAGGTGGGGGGGTGGGGTGTTCAGGATATAACTATTGTTCTTTCTGGGAAGGAAAATGAAGGGGTGTATATAATAAAGGAAAGACCTCATTTTTTAGACATTTCTATCAGAATGAATGGAATTGATTTATTTAACACAATTATTCTGAATCCCTCCCCCCAACACAGGATCTGATGCTGCTCTCAAAGGTCTCATTCAAATTACGTTAATTTGGGTACTAAGGAAGGCAAACCTCCCCGGAGAATGGAGCCGCCTGCGGTTGTGTTTGTGACCAGTAGGTGGCACTCTGCCCTCATGTCGGTGCCCCCCCCCCAACACACACATCCCCCAGCAGGGTTTGCTGAAAGGTCAGGGAAAGTGCTGAGTCAGCCATAAAACTCACCATCTGAATGGTACAGCCATGTTCGCGTACAATTATTTTTTACTCAACACATACTTGGTAAGCGTTTGTTATGAGTATACTTATTAATAATGAACGGTTTAAAACTGGAAGGAAGGACCTTGTCAATATTTGCTTTCTAGTTAGCCGGAGTGATGTATGTCTCAGATCCTGATCTAACTGGTTTGGGTTTTTTATTCTAAGTGCCTCGCTCCCCCAGACACCTCCATTGTAACACTGTCTTACTTTGTTCCTCTTCTGTTCTCAGCTAAGTAGGAAAATACTAGTGAACATTTTATAGCCACACTAGATAAAACAGTTTAGCACCTTTCCATAGTAGTTCAAAGCAGGAGGGATATTTTTAGGTATCCTATTAAGAATGGAGCTAGATTTGAAAATTGAGTGTGGTGAGTTGAAGGGTCACGTTTCTCTTGATACCTGGTTAGAATTTCTCTAGGGTGAGGTGAATCCCACAGAGACTGACAGGCAGCGTACCAAAGGCACGTGCTTGTATGTCTAGGAGTTAGTCCGGTGGATAGCTTTAGTAAGCACTTCTGGGTAGAAGATTATTACTAGGCATGGTAGGCAGGATAATAAAAGGAAGTGCTAAAAGATTGGGGAGGTTTTGGTGGTAATTATTTCAGGAAATGTTTTTCTGTTGAGGTGAGACCCCGGCGGAGTTCTTTATTTAGGAGGAACCCTTTCCAGTGGGTGGAGTTAGCTCCAGTAGCTGTTCGCCTCCTGTGCACTAGGGAAACGGACCTGCACTGAGTTTGGGTTGGCGTGGCAGGGTTAAGAAGTGCAGTGCAGAGTCTGAGGAAAGGGCGAATGTCTTTGTTGGAATTGAAGTTGTTCATGTTCCAAAGCAGAGAAAAGGACTGAGAGTCATTTCATTTTCTCCTCCATAACTTCATTTGAAACGACTTTTTTGGCATGTTTAGCATTTGAAAATACCTTTCTTTTCTAGGTTCATGATGGTTGTAATATCAAAATGTTCTTTTCCTTTGTAACTTTGAAGCAGACCTCCTTTTTTCACAGAAGTTTTGCCGACATATATTTTTACGTTGAGACCCAATGGGCAAATAACTTGTGTGGATGGCAATTATGAGGTGTGTATATTGGAAGTAATGTAAAAGGGTCACAATGATTAAAAACAGGCATAAAAAATACGTGATTTATAAACATTACTTTTGGTGCTCTATATAATAGGATATATTGAACTGAAAAATCTGTATATATGGCATGTCAGCATTTCTTAGTAACTGCTTTTGAATCCATTTTTAATATCTAATATTGTACAAGTTGGGGAGTTTTACTCTTTGGGCCAATACTATGCAGACTATAAATTTATAAAAATAAATGGAAAAATTCATCATTCCCCTGTATTCAAGACCAAAGCACATAAATGCTAATGTGGGGCTCAGAGGGGAAATACAGTTCTCCTGCATATTTGAGAAAATGTGAAGCCCTTTCAAGAAAATCTAATAAACATAATAACCATAGCCTGCTGACACGAAGGAAAAAGGACCTCATTTGCGCTTTCTTCTGTGTAGCGATTTACTGGTCCCTCCGGATTTCCAAATTGGATCACTGCAGTAAATTATCCATGCTGGTACCTGTGGAAGTAAGCCCTGGGATCCCTCGTTGTTGTATGTTCTGCTTAAATCAGCAAGAATGATAAATTTGATGGTCTGAAATTGGAAGTATCTTGGGCTTTCGTTGGTGATTGAGCTAAATAATGCCTCCACTTGTAATTTATTGCGACCCCTTTTCGCTGTCTGTGCTCTGAGTGTCGAATATTTATTCCAATACAAATTAAATTGCTGTTCCTTCATCTGTATTGTTATACCTCAGATTTTATTGGTGTAAAAATCCAATGGCGTAATAAAAATCTCTCTGGGTTACAAAAGAACATTGACAGTTACAATTCTGCTTTCCTTGAGTTTAATTGCCTTATTATTGCACAGAGGTGAATTTCAACATCCTTTATTGTCCCCAGCCCGGCACAGATTATGGAAATGCCGTGAGTTTGTGGTCTGCTGGCGGAACTGGCAGAAAGTTAAATTGCAGCGGGTCTCCCAGCTGGTGGCTTGCTTGTTTCTGTATGCTTCTGCCTAGTGCGTTCCACACTTACAGAACAGTGGGTGAGTTATTTATGGTCCTCAGATGGTTCACAGTGTGCAGTGTGCAGCATGCCCAGTCACGGATCAACACAGGGCAGCCTCGGGGAATAGTTTTCCCCTTTCAGCGTTTAGCGTTGGCTGGTGTTTTCCGAGGCATTTTCAGAACTGTGGCAGTAGACAGTGGGCCGCACAAAGAGCGTTAAACAAATCCTGGTCCCCCTGGAGATTCTAATAACTGACAAGGAGTGATGGGAATTGGCTCTGTAGGAGCAATTCTGGTAAGTGTGAGTAAACACCGGACTAGATAACAGACCAGTTGGCTACATAAAGGGCAGTGTTTGGAAGCCCGGTGAATGCAGAGACTTAGGCAGATGGATTTCCTGAAGGTGAATGGTTACAGGGTCTTAGTGATGCACGTCATTGGCTCGTAGTGCTCTTTCGTGTACTGTGGGAGGGTTGGGAGTCTTACATCATAATTCTGAGCTGTGGAAAGGACAGGTCATCTCATTCCTTGAAGCCGGTGGAGTGAAGAGTCTTCTCAGGGATATGGAACACAGATGTTCTAGAGAGGAGGAGGATTACATCAACACACGTCGTTCTTTTCTTACAGAGAATTTTGACATGTAGACTTGTAAGCCCCAAAGTATTGCTACTGGGCCTCCAGTTCATAGGTGCACAGATTTCTTCTAAATGGAACATGTTGCGCTGATGGCTCTCAGGAATACCCATGTCTCAGCTTTCATTTGGGTGCCTTCAAGAAAAGTAGACCTACTCACGACCCACTTCCAGGAGCATCTGCTGGGCCATTCCGGCAGAGAAGCCAGCTCAGAAGGTAACGGTGACAGTACTGATAGATTGTTCTCAAAGGACACAGGATGATCATGGCACCTTACCAAGTTTTAATAAAAGAGAAAACTACATATGTGAGAAAAAGGCCAGGAAAGTTAAGCCGAGGAGGGTAAGGAGGGTCCCCACCCCCTACCCCCCATTCATGACAGTGCCCCTGTTCATTTGCCAAAGATAACATACTCAAGGCTCCTTGGATTTGCAATGATGGTCTTGGTGCTATGAATTGAGGAGTTCATGCCTGGAAATTTATTTCTTATCCAAAGCATATACTTCATATTTTTGAAGTGTTTAGAAATTGCCACTTTGACTCTTTATCTAAAAAGTTAAATTACTTTTTTTTTTTCCGCGACTCACCACATGCATGGGCTTATTTTTGAGTTACTGTCACTTGTGTCAATATATCTCCCTT